GTCATAGAGGGTGCGTAGGTTCATTCGACTTTGGCTTTGGACTGGCAGATATTCAGGGGCAAACAAGTCAAAGCACCCCGAATTTCCGCCTTAAATAGCGGTAATATTGGCTTTCTTGCTGGTGCTAGCCTTAACAATTGCACTATTAACGTTGTTGTTAAACCAAAACCGAACACTGAAAACTGACGTTGTGTCTGGCATAGTTTGACATGGTGCAGGCTATGGCCAAGGTCGAATATCGTCACGTTCCGTGTGACGTCACTTGAATTGTTCGACGACGTAATCGTATTCGGTCAGTCAACCCCGTCAGAAGTTGGTTGTGAGTAAACTTGCACTCGAATTCCTTCATTGTTTCCTTTTTCTTTTCAACACAAATTCACTGGAAAAAAAATGCATGTTTCCAAGCTTGGAAATGTCTTGGAAAGATGATGTTTCCAAGACATTTCCAATCTTGGAAAGATGATGTTTCCAAGACATATCCAAAATGGATACATGAGATATCCATACGTTTCCAATTATTGGATATGTGCACAAGGGGAGATAACTGGTGGGTGATGGTAAATGTACGCCGAAAGACCTGACCCTCGTTACTTGATGAGCGAATCAAGGCCGTAGATTAACCAATTAACAACTTTATAGTCATTAAAATCAGGCTGTTTGTAGCCTTTATGACTATACTGGTTGGACCACTGAATAATATCACGCTACAAAATGAACTTGAACAGCAACATTTTCAGGTTATCATTTGCGCCTCTAAACATTGAATGAAATAATTACTCTTTATGATGAAATGGATCAGAGAACATTATAATGGCATAAATGAGGCTTTAATGACTCATGTAATGGTGAAATTAAAAATTATATAATCACTATGACATTGTTAGTTTACTCATGGCCAGACACATCAACCTGGTACCGGTAGATTTATATGTATTACGTAAACATTCAGTATTTCTTAGTACCTGAGATAAGATTACACAAATTTTCAGTGAGACGTTTAATCTCAGATCATTTTGTTAGGTAGCATTCACTAAAGTAAAACTTCAATAGATCGGTCATTGGCACACTGAAGCAGATTTCACTTATACTGCATTAAACAGTATGGGGATACATAAGGCATCATACCACGTATGTGATAACAATACCTGATTATTGCATACATTTCGATGTACATCTTTCAGCATAAACAAGTTGGTTCAACTTGGTTGTATGTTGATTAATTTCCAATTTTTATATGTCCACAAGGGGAGATAACCGATGGGTGATGGTAAATGTACGCCCAACGACCTTATCAAGGCCGTTAAGATTCACCAATTAACAAGGCCTGCTGTCTTGTTAATTAGCAAGTGAACAGTTAAAACAGCCTCTGGAAGGATAACCCAGTTCCCAGTTTATATGCCTCTTACAACTTCAACTTCTTTATTCTCATAAAACCACCATCGGTGGTACAAGAGCATTTAACTATACAATATTTACAAATGTGTATACATATGGACATGCGTCATGATGATGAGTTATTTATGTAACAATTTATACAAATGAGAGATAAAAAGTGATAGACAGTTGCTAAGTTTAAATATGACCTTGCTAATAGTTGCTTAGCTTGCTTAGCTTTGATTTTCTGTAAGAATTAAGTGACGTGCATTTAAAAAAGATAATGAAATTCGTCACCAACTAAGTTGCAATTACATAGTCTACATAATCTTTCTTCTCTCGGTATGTTCTGCCAGTTTCGATTGTAAGATTTAAATTTGAGGTTCTAAACTTCAAAATAGGGTCATGTATAGATTTTGGAAATAGAAGGTATTTTTCAAAAGACAGTGGGTTTTTTAAATATTGAATATAGAAACCCCTTAGGGCTGGAACGTTTATCTTCTTGCCATCTTAGGATAACTTGATCTGTTAAAATTCGCTTTGCTTTCTAAACGAGGGACATCTTGCATTTGGTTTTGTGATAAGGTTTTAGTTTCTATGTATGTGTGAACGAGGAACCTGGCATTTTTTACCGACTGAACTTAAAGGTCACATGCAACAAAAAAAAAAAAATCGAACATAATTAAAACACAGTTTTCACTTATTCATGATATATACAACGCATTGCTGCTTAAGAAAAACAAATAAACAAATTATAAGCCCATAATCGCAAATCAAAGTGCAATATTTTATACTTCGGTTTACTTCTCTCGAAACGAAGCAGTCAGTGATAGCCGGGATACCGAACCCAGTCTGAGCCAGTGTGCGTGCACTCAACTGTAACGGAGATGATTTTATTGGCTCATTTACCTGTGTTTATGGCCCGATACGCGTTAAGTTCAAATTGCATGTGGTCAGTGATTGAAGATGTGTATTGCATATTGTCATTAGCAGACAGGCAGGCAGGCAGACATATAGGTGTTATTGAAACAGACATTGAGTTTTGTTTGCAATCAATATGTTATTTTATGTAACGAGTACATTATTTACTTCTTTGTGTAGGCCTACATATAATCAGGATATATGCATCTTATTTCAAGCTCCATGAACCTATTCACTGCGCATGCGTTATGAGAGCAGCGCAGCTGTTGAAACCAATTTTCCCCAGTTTCGGGGAAATTCAGTGAATCGTTTGAACTCCGATTTCGCGGGCTTTTTTAATCGCGTTTTTAACAACTTTATAAGTTGAATTTGCATTTTTTATGATTTGTTTCGGTAACTCCATACCAAAAGGTATCAGAATCTGCAAAGTTGTATTTTACGTTGCATGTGACCTTTAACATTGTTCCATGGTCAATATCGCAATATTGGCGCAATGGTAGTATACAGGAGTTTGTTTCAAGTTTTGATAGCCCCATTATTATGCAAATAAAATTATCAAAAAATGAATAAATAATGTCATGCTCCTCTCAGAGGGAGGGAACATAGTTTATATAATGATTCTTATATTTCCTTGTCAAAACAGAATTCACAAATCACAGATATTTTGTGTGGGTTTGTGCGCATAATTTAATATATCATCCAACTTGATAGTAATTAAACAGCAGGCCGGTGGTAACCATAATGACTATATTGTTGGACCATTTGAAGAATGGATTGGAATAGTAACACTTCCATGTTATCATTTGAGCTTCAAAACATTGGATGAAAGAAAAACTATTTAGGATGAAATAGATCAGATCATTATAATGGCATTATATATACATTAAAGCGTCATTTATGCTATTATAATGATCTGATCTATTTCATCCTATATAATATATATATTATAGAAGATATATTATACTATATATTATACACCAGCCACCAGACACGTCAACTTAATTAATTATTGCTGGAACATTGTTAAAAGCGACGTAAACTTTCTCCACTTATCTAAAACATTCCATACTCAGTGTTGACCCATGACAGATCATTAATCATTCTTGGGATGTTGGTTTTGGACGGTGGTCCACGGACACGCCTTTGCCTTTGGGATGGCCCCTTGACCTTGCAACTGTTGAAAAGTTTCATCAGCAAGCCTCTTTGCTGACATCAGTTCTCGTGACTCGACCTTCGGTCGCACAATAAAATATCTGAAGCCACCTTCGTCAATATCACTTTCTTCCGATGACATGAGTTGAACATTCTTCAAAGCCTCTTCATACTTGGTCTTTTTGTGGCTGGGAGGTCAGCTTTTCGAATACCCTTCACTCTGTTACGACTCTTCTGAAGAAAACAAACCAATATGCTCATACTTATATTTCCATATAGGTAAAGTGAGTGTAAAACCAACGTGATAATTGAATTAATGGCTATTCTGATAATCTTATGGTCAGTAATATCGATAGTTGCATGTTTAGTGGATTTGAACACAGTTAATAGTTAATATTTATTGGCCATGTTCAGCCTCTAACAAAAACTCAATGTTTAACAATACATAATCCCTTGTTAATTGATAAGTGAGTCATTTCAGTTAAGATTCACTAATTGACAAGGCCTAATCCCTTGTTGAGTGATGAGTGAGTCATGTCAGTTAAGGTTCATCAATTAACATGTTAATTGATGAGTGAGTCAAGTCAGTTAGGACACCTTGTTGTGTTTTTATTTTTACTTACTGTAGATTTTCTAGAGTATTTTCTCATGTCATCATTCCGCTTTGTTCGGCTGCCACATTTCTGTCTTGAGGCCCTTTCCTTCTTTGTCTGTAGACATCTTTTCATAGCAACTGAACAAAAAAATGCAATACAGTGGCAGAAAACGCATGAATATTACATATCTAACGAAGTCATCACAAAATACAATGGTTAAAAAAATCGCCCATGAACATAACAGGTTTTGTACTACGCAACAAAAATCACTTTCGGAAAGTCAAGAAATGAGAATTATCATTACATTATAGTGGGTCTTGCTTATTTATGGCTGTGCAGTGACGCATGTAAATGCATCATTAACTGATTAAGAACTGTATAGCAAAACTGCAATACCTTGAAATTCAGGGCGCGGAATAGCAGGGAGTGCTGTCTTAGCAAAGTTCCAAGCATAGTCCACAACTTCCTTTTGTTCTGCTCTGCTTCCAACCTGAATTTAAAGTTCTAAATTTATTGTCTTGTGGAAGACAAAGTTATCACTCAAGAGTCAAGATTGTCGTAATTCTACCTGAAGTTGCATTTGTTGAACGGTTTAATGCATTGAAACTCTTGAATTTAGTGTATATATATATATATATATATATATATAGTATATTCATACTTGTATTGTGGATTTAGAGCCATCCCTCCAGCAGTCTCTGCATTCTGAAGTGCCTGCCTCACAGTTGCCTGTAAAAGATTTATGGGAAAAAATACAACATTCCGATAAATATGACTTGCGTGTCAGCGGCACGATATGGCTGCAATATTGCCGATGTGACAGTAAATATTAACTCACTCAAGTGTGTCAGAACACTGAATCGTCTAAAAATCATTACCAAAAGTTACTGAAATGGCAGCAGAAACACCTTTGCATGGTTAGTTGCTTTCTGTTTGTTTCCAGTCACTGGTTCTTGACTATCCCTTCCTCTCTGCAGTCTCTCCAGTTGTTTTTGCATATCTGCAATCTGCAAATGAAATTACTGAAAATGACATACTTTCTTGCAGAGTAACTCTTTGTTTTGACAACTAGTACATTTTCCAAAACTGCCCCCCACGTTCACACCTTGATTACTTCTTTAAGTGGCATTTAGAAGCTGGTATGATGAGGATCAAGAACTTTTATGGATATGACAACTTCTTTGTTGCAGTGGATGCGACGTTTCGGTGTAGATTCTAACACCGTTATCAAGCAAATGATGCACAATGTATGCACAAGGAGAATTATATACATGACGGGTATGTGTTTATACAGTAGAGGAGGTTAATGTGCAGTGTGTTGACATGGGGCTTGTTGTGATAGGAGATGATTGAAGCCAGTGGAGAAAGGTGGGTTATTCTTGATTAGGCTTGATTAGTTGATCGTAAGCCGTAGGGATGTAATAACCTTGATCTCTGTTGATTAGTTAATTATTTAAGTAATAGACAGGTGGCCTCTCCGGGAAGCTTCTTTCAAGTGGAACATACACTCAGATAATGTACAAGTGTATAACCGCAAAAGAAAAACAAATAACTATAACTCGGTGATTTAGCGCTACACCATACCTGTCGATCTCTCATTGCGACATCTCGTCTCAGGGCACCAATAGCAATCCACATTTTGTCCTCCATCAGCTTCATCTTCCATTATCTGTAGAATATCTTCCGTGTGTTGCTTCTCTGAAACTGTACAATTCAAAGTTATTTGCTGAAGAACTGCCTTGTCGTCCTGATGTCATATACTACCCATCAAAAGTTTAGACTCAAATAAAGCACTCACTGTATGATATGAATATATGGTTACATCAAAGATGAATTTCTCCAACAACTTTTGGGAACCAACTGCAAACCTTATGCAGATGAATTGCACGAGGATCATGCATCAAATAACTGAAAATCGTGTGCAAATATCGTGCATGAGAACAGCTGCGTTTTGGTGCAAAGTTTTGTTAAAATTCACATGCATCCAAAAAATCAAACATACCGAACCCAGTCAGAGCGGGTGTGATTGCACTCATGTGTAACGGGGTCGTTTTATTGGTTCATTAGCTGATGCACTCATTCGGTTTTGTTTATGGCGTAATAAGCCCGATAGGTGTTAAGTTCAAATTGCATGTTGTCAGTGACATTGAAATTGTGTGTTGCATATTGTCGTGAGCAGACAGGCAGGCAGATTGAGTTTTGTTTGCTTACCACAATCAACATGTTTTTTTGTTTATGCAACGAGGATATTATTTACTTGTTTGTATATATATAATCCTGATATGCATCGTGTTTCAAGCTCCGCGAACCTGCTCACTGCGCATGCGTTGTGAGCGCAGCTGTTGAAAGCACTTGTTCCCCCAGCGCTAGTGGAAATTTAGTGAATCGTTTGAACTCCGACTTAGCTGGCTTTTTTCATCGCATTTTTTTCCAACTTTATGAGTTGAATTTGCATTTTTGATGACTTGTTTCAGTAATTCCAAAGGTATCAGAATCTGCAAAGTTGTATTTTACGTTGCATGTGACCTTTAAGAATTTCACGGAGTTTCTTCGTTTCTTGAAATCTTGACAATAACCTTTTCGGCATTACAAATTTGTTTTACGATACTTCAGTTCATGTGTAAACTGTACCTTCTAAAACGTGGAATATTTTGCAAACTCTATATCAGGACAGTTGACTGAAGTAAGTCGCTATTTTGTTATAGCCAAGCACTTCCCGTAAAATGATAAGATAAAGTATATTGTTATATTAGTAACTAATTTGTATAATCCTGCTATATATAAACGCTACTTACAGCATCTCTTGTCAAGGTTAAACTGATGATCGTCTTCAGTTTCGCAGTCTGTAATTAGAAACATTAGCCTGTGACACACGTAAACATCAAATGCATAACCATCAAAGAAGCCACGTTATATTACAATTACTGGAACTACATTCAGAGGGAACACCCATTGAAACATCGGAGAGAAAGTACCTGATAACAGGAATGAAGCTGCTGCATTTGCACAGGCCGTTGCCGTAGGAGTAGACGTGAACGGCACCGCTGCTCGCTGTTGTCTGATTTTCATTCTTGTCGCTCGCGGACGTGATTGGTGACCGGATTTCTGAAAATTCAGTTGCATTCTTATACAACATTTTGAACCATGATAATGAAATAAACAATGGATATTGGTCATACCTTCACAAGTTTTCTTTCATCGACTCAGATAGAAAAAGTGAACACGTTTGCTGTTGTCTGGACAGAGAAGTCAGAATATATGTTTCCCTTCTTTCAGGACATTAAGATTATCATTAGTTGAGATAGAATGAGGTTTGATTTCACTGACAGTAAGTACAGTAAGTAATACATGGTAGAAGTAGCATTTGACCATGTTAAGAATATGCAGTTGTGACACCGTAATTACCTGGTTGCCTTTGGCAGAGTCTGTCGTACTAGTTTGGTCTGTGTCTATTTGGTATTCACTCCCTGGAACACAAACATAGCATACAAGATAATGTACTGTCTCCGATTCAAAATAGGGATAGGACATATTTTGAAATATCAATTCGACATACAGATCTTTGGTTTACCGTTCTGGCCACTGTACAGTCCCACAGAAAAATAGCCGGTGTTAATTAGGGAGTATATTCAACCTGCTATCCTGACAAGCCCCAGGAGAACTTTTATGACATCCATTAAAGGTTTGAACAGCCAATTAGTCGGTCTGTTACTTTGTTTTCAAATTGTGATTCAATATACTAAATAGTCATTATTTGGTATGGTAGTCTTGAGTGTAACATTTCTCAACAACTGTACTGTTGAAGGAGCACATTGCATCATCAGGATTGCCTTACTGATATCGTGTGTAATCAATAATATACTTACCTGAGCTGATAGCGTCTTCTAAAGAGATATCGCTGACAGACATTCTGGACGGCTTCGTAGATGCAAAATCTCAAATTTACGATAGCACAAAATTCAGTATATTGATGTGCGATAATGGACTGCATTTTCCTATCGGGTGTTCATATATATATTCAGAACTATGAGTTCATCCACTTACATATGAGTTGCTCCTCCCATCTGCAGCTTCTCCAACTTTCTGCTGGTTTCATCTGGCTTGAATAACCTGTTACTGTATTTCGAAACAGTCCGGATGTCACTAATTAAAACCCTCTTCTCATGATTCTTAAATTTATTAGCATACACACCTTGTGAACGCATCTCAAATCTTAACGAATGTCCCTACTGTATTTGTTGGAAGAAATACAATGGGCAGTGCATACAACAATTTGTGGAGCAAGTAAAGAAATATATGTCATACAAATGGTATCGTTGTTTGCCAGTCAGGCACGTTGTTTATTTTAAGGGGTATGTCATGGATTATGAGGCTTGGTCCACTGGGCTTGTTTGATTGTTTATACCAATATCGCACGGCCTTCACAACTGAGGGAATGTTTTTTGTTTAGTAATTATATTGCAGTTCTCCATACAACTCCAAACATCTCCATGTATTCAGGGGGTGGGGCTTTTTTGTTTCGTTTTTATTATTATTCATAAAAATGAATTTGAACAATTTTACACTTTATATGAACACCGGTCCCACACAATTTGTAATACATAATTCAATTGAAGCATGTGGCGTCATATGAACTATCATATGAATGGCATATCAAATACAACAACCATTAAATAAACGTAAATACAGAGTTTCACTTTTGGATGTCCGACATGCCATATCTGACTTCCAACTTCTAATAACAAGCCACAGGGACATTGATTATTGTGACATACACAGTTATGTATGTTATGTTTTATGTATTATTAGTAATTTATCGATTTATGCATGTTTAACATAAAAGGACAAATGAGAGTCCACTTGTGACATTGTTGGCTTGGACATTTCCTCTTTCACCCGGTGTCCTCTCACTAAGTCAGATTCTGTAAAAACTGGTCTCATAGTTTGTTTCAACAAAAAGCTCAATTAGTGAGATTCGTGAAATTTCTATTAAAGTTATATGTATCATTTGCTTGCTTATGTTATGCTTATCTTCCAAATGTATGCCTGTCTGTGGAATCATCTGTGACTTTGTGTCCTGGTTTCTATGGAAATTAATTTGATATAAAATGAAACATGTAACATGATTCTTGTAAATGGTCACATTAATTTAGTTACACTGTGATTTATTAAAAGGAAATTCATTTGAGTATTTGTCAAACCTCGCATCTTTGACAACACAACAAATCTACTGTTAAAGTGCATGAGATTTCGTGAATACACCCGTTGCATAACACTGTTAATGAACACAAATCTTTGCGACAGGTGTTAATTGAGAATGTACACTATTTCCCCTGTTTGTAAAAGCACCGTAATGAGATTGGGGTTATTACCTTCAAAGTCTTATGATAAAAAAGGCTAGTGTGTGTTTTAACAGGCATGATTGGAGTTGAAATTTGATGTTTCATGACATAATATATTTGGTGTTGCCACCATGAACTCATTAAGCCAGAGAGTCGCTTCACTGCTCAACACCTGGAGCCCCTCACTGATTGCCTGGCTCGCTGTGGTGAGACTAATTAGTGTTCTACACACCTAGGGGATTAAACAGGAAACTGTCTAGTCATTCAAACAAGTCTTGATTGTTCAACTGTGTCGTAAAGGTATATGTTGAAAGATAGCAGGTGTGCTGTCATATATTGCAACGTTATATGTAATTTTATTGCAAGTTTCTCCTGTAGACCTTTGGCGAATCGAACATTTATGTGTAATTAACATTTGTGTGTATTTCTTGTATGTAAGACACGAGACATACATAAACAAACTGTCTCTCTCTCATACCTTTGCGTGAGGTTTAATTTTACAAAACATCTATTAATATTGCATATATCTCAAGGACAGTACCAATATGAATATGAAGTAAGATGGAACAGATTCATACTTTGTCACTTTGTTTCATCACTGCAACCATATATTACCATGCATATACATTTTCCTTTGTCTTGACTTGATACGGTGTCCTCTCACTTAGCCAGATTCTGTAAAAACTGGTCTCTCACAAAGCCAGAGTGGGGGGTTTGGCTGACTGGAGTTAGAGTTCTGATAACACTTCGTCCATATGAGTTATAGTTTGTTTTAACAAAATGCTCAGTTAGTGATATTTGTGGTTCATGAAATGTGTTTAAGGGAGATACATGTACACTGATATGTATTATTGATGCTCAGTATGGTATTACCCAGATGATGTCATGTACTTTTGTAATCGTGTTAATCGCATAAATGTTATTTTGTCTGAGACACATAAATATATATGTTAAACCAAATTTTGATTTTACAATTATTACAAAACGCACACTCGCATATTTCTTTAATCTTGTCACACTGTAGATATAATATAGACTATAGCCCTTGAACAAAAGCTCACGCTTCGGTGGCTAGTGCTAATTACCTGGCTCGCATCTCTCACCTAGCCATAGTGCAATGTTGTTTTAACAAGACCTTTTAGGTGGGACTCTGGCTAAGTCAGAGTGGACGCTTGATACAAAGCGTCATGTGATGGGATTGGATCACGTTCCTGAAAGACTCCTTACTATCTCAATTGCTCATTACAGTGGTTGATCATTTGTTATGTATGACCAATCGTTTTTATGATATACCTGTCACATAGGAAGGACAGGTGACAGGTGATGGGACGTGGCCTAAATTTCTGAAGGGAACATTTGGTGACTCAGCAGAATGAACAGAGATTGGTTATATCGTTAACCAATGGGTAGGTTGTGTTTCGGCTGTTTCGAATGTTTGAACTGTCGTGTATAGTTTGTGTATTGTAAACATACAGTCAGTTATTATAATGATGTATGAAACATACAACAAAACAGGAATGGGTGGACTCTTTGGCAAGTCAGATCTCAGATATCGAACAAAGGTTTGTTAGTATCTTTAGATAAGTAAACCAATTATCGATTGAAATAATTAAACCATTGAGCAGAGATATTATTTATTATTATGTATTATATATATGTGATATGTATATATTCTGTGTAAAACAACTTTTACTCGAATATTCAATTGCTAACGGCTGAAGGGATAGTGTAAATCCAGCAAGGCCATGCAGGAAGCAAATGAACTGTAAGTCCTCATGGTCCCAAGTATGGTGTTATATCTACAGTTGTTGGCAATCTATAGCCGGTTTCTATATTGTATTATCATATATGGGTAAAATATTCTAGACTGAACTGCACACGCCCTACCCCCAAACCGAGAAGCATCGTGATTTAGGTTATTTCTATAATTAGCACAATATAATAGGCTAATAGGTATTTTACATACAATAATTACACATAATAATAAACCTATATCTTTAAAACAATAATAATGATAATGTTGAAGTTTGTTGCCATTTGCACAAACATATATCTTAGATATATGAACTAAACCTGGTGATAAGTCTTACACTCGAGTACTAGTGTGACAGACAAGCCCATGCACAAAAACATTCTTGAAATGTGTCCTCACCGTCAATAGTCATATTTACATTTTGCATGTGACCGGTCATCAATTTCAGCCTTCCTGGCATGTACCACACAGTCTCTGACCATAAACCCAAATTAGCCCACAGTCTTAAAACAACATTTCATGGTTAGTTGACTGTTTTTTACGCAATGATACACCACTAAAAATGTCCACCTCTTGTGGCAGGTGCTAATTAGAGGGTACCAATTAAATGTATATTCTACCACACAATAAGCCCATTATTCCCTGACAAAGGTTCACTTTCATGACATGTAATAAACCTTGTCCTGGCAGACAGAGGGCTTATAATTAATCCATGATGTAAAGTAGGTCTATGTAATTCGTGTTTATACAAATTGGGAAAAATATTTCCGCTTTTGTGGATAACAAGTAAAATATACATTTAAAACGGTATTTTGGAAAATTGTACCTTTACTTGGGGCAAATATAACAGACAATATACATTTTTGACACTGACAATAAGAAAGATGAAGATGAGTGAAGTTATACTAATATAAAGGATTGGTTCCTAGTTGAAGGACGAGTAGAAAACACCTATTTTAAACATGATCACAACTTTCAAAAGAAGTATCTCTTCACGTGTCAGATGCAGTTACATTAATATAAAGCACAAATAGATAGCTCAAAAGATGGCATATTCATGCAATCGCCATGAATAAATTTTGTCAAATGCAAAATGCATTATGTAGATCAACAGTAAGAACTATAACAGAACAAAATATGTATGATATCGTTAAACGTACACGCTCATGGGGATCCTTTGAAGGAGGAACTGAACGAAGCAGCAGTAAAATCCTTCCTATATATCCAAAAGATTTCCAAGGCTTTGGGATAGCTCATATTTCCAATTTTGGAAATGTTTGGATATATGATATTTCCAAATTGGAAATGTTTGGATATGACCATTTTTTTTCTAGTGAATTCCATGTATTTTAGCAATAATAACAGCCTTCGGTCTTTTCAACTGCCCTCCTTCGTCTGGCAGTTAATGGAAGACCTAAGGCTTCTGCAAATGATAATGCCCTCAAAATAGCATTACCCTTATAATAATATGCAATGTTTCAACCTAACGGAAAAGGAAACAAAATGTTTCAACTGATAGATTTTAAATATCAGACTACTGGGGCGATATACTATAGAAGTTCTTTTGTTTTTTTTCTTAGTCGTATTCAATAGAAGTTTGAGACTTAAGTTTTGTTTTTTATAGCACTAGGCTCCGTCCGTCCATACATCCGTACGTACGAATTGGAATATTTTAAGATCCGTTTACTAAATTCATTTCATATTTGGTACCTAGGTTCATCACCGTATACGAAAGGTCCCAGTCATGTTTGGTGACCTTGACCTTTATTCCAAGGTCACCAGGGGACATGGTCGTGTTACTCTTGTCACCGAGATATCTCAAAAACCGTGTACTACAGTTTCATATTCAAAACGAAGCTTTATCTAGGGAAGGCGCAGGGCCCGGTCGATTTTGGTGACCTTCACATAATTTTCAAGGTCATGGCGACTC